TCCACTTATTTCCAGTTAGCTGCTTCACAGGGATATCTATTTTTAAGCAAGCTGGCAAATCTTTCATTGTGATGGCTGTAGCTACCTACTTCATTAATTTACAACCTCACTTTTAATCGATCTACTTGGAAATAGGATAACATAATTATTTTTCTCCTTGGTTAGATGGTGGAGAATGTAGGAAGGGAAAAGGATTCTGGGCTTGCTAGCACTGACCAGGCATTAGCAGACTTCTGAATTAAATCTGTCTTGAGTTTCCACCCTTGTGATATGTGCATATTTGCACAATTCAATTGTTTAGAATCACAGAACGGTTTGGGTTGGAAGAGACCTTTAAAGGTCACCTAGTCCAACCCCCCTGCAATGAACAGGGACGTCTTCAACCAGATCAGGTTGCTCAGAGCCCCGTCCAACCTGACCTTGAATGCTTCTAGGGATGGGGCCTCCACTACCTCTCTGGGCAACGTGTTCCAGTGCTTCACCACCCTCATTGTAAAAAATTTCTTCCTTATATCTAGTCTAAATCTACCCTCTTTTAGTTTAAAACCATTATCCCTTGTCCTATTGCTACAGGCCCTACTAAAAAGTTTGTCCCCATCTTTCTATATAAGACCCCTTTATATATTGAAAGGCTGCAACAAGGTGTCCCTGGAGCCTTCTCTTCTCCAGGCTGAACAACCCCAACTCTCTCAGCCTGTCCTCGTAGGAGAGGTGCTCCAGCCCTCAGATCATTTTGGTGGCCCTCCTCTGGACCCGCTCCAGCAGGTCCATGTCCTTCTTGTGCTGAGGGCCCCAGAGCTGGAGGCAGTACTGCAGGGGAGGTCCCACCAGAGCAGAGTAGAAGGGCAGAATCGTGACCTGCTAGCCATGCTTCTTTTGGTGCAGCCCAGGTACAGTTGGCTTTCTGGGCTGCGAGCACACATTGCCAGCTCATGTCCAGCTTTTCATCTACCAGTACCCCCAAGTCCTTCTCCGCAGGGCTGCTCTCCGTCCCTTCACCCTCCAGCCTGTATTGATATCGGGGGTTGCCCCAACCCAGGTGCAGGACCTTGCAAGGTTGAACATTTGGAGTTAAATAACAGGTTAAAAAAAAAAAAACAGGTAAAGTGGGAAATGTAGTAAAATGAGAATCAATCACTTTGTAGTGGAATACTCTATGAACAGTCATCATAGAAAACATGTGGTATGTGGTGCAACATCTGATTTATATAATTTTGAGGTCACCTCCTTATTTGGCCCCTGAACTAAATGATTTGATCAGGCAGGCAGCCTCCCCTTTCACAGGAATGCAGGCTACTTTCCATAGCTGTTCCTGTTGGGTATGTTTGGTATTTGTGTCAGCCTTCAGCAAAGATGTCTAGTGATGTTAAGTATGGGGCAAGGAAATATTGGCACTGGCAATATGATAGAGAATTCAGTTGCTAGAATAACAGTATGGAAAAATTGCTGTATTCTAGAACTAAATCTTGCTTTTCAACTGTGCGTACAAGGACCTTCTGAAAGTCACAGCCAGAAGGGGAAATGCAAGCCACTTGTGATCAGGAAACACCATCTCCTTCCCATACTGGGAGAGTTGGCTTCAGCAAGACTTTCCCATCCTAAGCTGGTGAGGCAAGAAGGTGCTTGTTGGCAGGATGGACCAGCCTCACCCCTGTTATTACGCTCATTTTTGGCTTGAATAAAGGCATGTGTGCTCAAAACGTGAGTGTAAGCTAGTGTTAAGTAGTGTTGTGGTAGTACATAGATGACCATCCTAGTGGATATTGGTTTCTGTCTGTTGTGGTACTAGATGAGCCATTATCATAAGGATCTCCCAGGGCATGGGAAGAAGGATATGCTGGGATTTTGGTCCCCACATTATTTGCTGGGCCTGATCCAAAGTCACCAACACCGATTTACTCCAGTGGTCTGACTACAACCCAAATTTCTAGGTGTCCTAGAAGTAAACGGTTTCGTAAATTTATAAAGAAATTATTTCACTTCTCTGAAAGTGTGATTATTAGTGTCCCTACAAATCTGAACCTGTGTCCCAATTGCTCTGTCAAGTTCATGTTGAAGTATTTGCCTCCTGTCTATACATGAATTTCTGAGAATTTTGATGAAGGACAAAAGAGATGTAACTGTGTTGCAAGAGGATGAAAAGTAAAAACAGGATAAGATTGTAAAATAAAGATTGAATTTGTAAGCTTGAAATCCATTGAACTCATCCAGAGCGCAGTACAATGCAAACCCCCTTATTCAAGGTCTGCTAGTTAAGTGTACCACAGCACTGTCATGATCCATCAAACCTGCCAGATAAGGAGAGGCTATTTTAAAATTTCTCCTTCAGGGCATGGGGAAGTACTGTTCTTGCAAAGATAGAAATTTATGATGATGCTAAAAAAAATGCAGATGAAGTGAATAATTAATGAATTCAAGACAGGACTGAAATATCTTCCTAAAATGTTGCTATTTTTAGCAGGGAGTGCTTCTGCAGTGCTTGTCATGTGATCCTGTTGCCTTCTGAGAGCAGGAAAACAATTTGAATTAGTTTCTCTTTCCCCATGGACCTATAGGCCCAGCGTATAATACCCCTTAGCATCTGCCTCTGCCTTCGAGCAAAGTGATTTTAAACCTCATGCAAAATAAAACACTAATGAAAGCTCTACTTAAAGATAATCTTTATAGCAGCTGAATAAATTTGATAATAGTTTGTCATAGACCCCTTGTACAGCCTCAGCCTACAATGTGTCTAACTTTCAGCTGATGCTGAGGTCCAGTAATACTCATTACTGCTGCAGTTTCTAGCTGTCAAAGGACATAGAGGCAGCTATCAATAGGAGGTTGCAGGATCTGGCCCATAGATAAGGATTTAATATAAACAGATTTGTGCTTCTTTTCCCAATAATGAGTATGGAGTGTTGCTGTGTTTGAGCTACTTTGCACATTAAAAATGTTAGTCAGAAACACCTCTAAAAAAAATTGTTATATACAGCCGGCCTGTGCATGCACTCATGTTTCCACACACGCTGCTCAGCTGGATGCACAGGGAGGGAAGACTCCTGGTTGAACTGCAGGAGGAGGTGCGAGGGATAGGACTGCCATCTTCTTCTATGCCACAGGCTGCTCCTGCGACTGTGCAGGCTGCAGCCACACAGGTCCACACAGGAACACAGCTACTGCTGTAGTGAATATTGAGGTGCTTAACGTCCCACCCCTGGTCCTGTAGCGGATTTCTCCTTCCTGAGGGGTGAAGAGGTTCCCAATGCGCATCAGAAAGTCAGAAGCTGCTTGCTTGCTGCCTTTCTTGCCTATTGGAGTTGCCACAGGTTGAATTTAGAAGAAACCTCCAAATCCCAAACCTTTAGGCACTGAGAAGGACCCTGGCTTTGCAGCCCAGTACCCAGTCTGTAGGGGTGCAGAGGGGTGCTGACTTGCTCTCCCCATATATGCTGGAGTTGCTCTCCCCACGTGGGATGGTTCCTGGGTGACTCCTGTAAGGTGCGTAGGGCTCCTTGGACATGGCTGGGACCCTGGTCCCCAATCCCACCTGCCTGCAGAGCTCTACCCCGGGAGCAGCATGCTTGCTGTGCAAAGCAGCAGCAAAACATCTGGGCTGAAGCACATCGGTGTAGGAAAGGGTTGTGAGCCGAGTCCCGAGCAGCAGAGGTGGCCCCAAAGGCACCTGCAGCCCCAGGGCAAGCTGCAAGCTTCGCTGATGGTGGGTGTTGGGAAACTCCTGGATTAAGCCATGGATGGTGGCTTCTTTGGGGACACTGGAGCTTGGGCTGTGGCTCCTTAGTTGTGTTCAGGCACTCATTTATGGCTTAGGTGCTGTAAATGCTTTACTGCATCTGGGCCTTCGTCTCTGTTTTCCCTTCTCTGTGTGTCTATCTAAAAGGACTGTTTTAAGATTTAATGTCTGTCAAACATATGCCCAGAAGTCTGTGTTGTGTGGAGCTTTGTAATAATTAGAAGTTGATCCTCAGCTGGAAGCTGAGTTTGGTAGATGTGAGTGCTATTCAAGTGAGAAATCTTGTTAAGAAAAAAAGTATTAAACTATCATTATTGTATTTTTTTGTGCCAGCTGAAAAGACTGTTTCCAGGCTTATTTTTCCCAGCTTTCCACCAGTTCTGCCATGCTACAGCTCATCACCTTTTTTTAAGTCTTCTTGCTCAGTCACTTGTGTGAGCCCTTCCTAAAAAGAATCTGGTTATTAGTGGGCTGCTTTTTAAGCAAACCCCATCTATTTAGACCAAAAGGATGTAGAGGGGTAGACACAGATTGAATAAGTGGGTGAACTGGAAGGAGTGGGAGTCTGTGGCAGGGGGATCTGATGAATGGTTGATGTCTTCAGTGGGTCCTGTCAGTAGGACAGGACACGAGGACAACCCTAGTAAAGCAAGCCTGGAGGAGTTTTTTCACCTAACTTCGTCTCAGCACGTGGGGTTTGTGCTCCTGTTTGAAGGTCTCTTGGGTTGTGGTTCTGTGATACAAATAATAAACCAAATGAAGGGTAGTAAATTGTATCTTTCTAAATTAAAGAAATGCATCAAGTTCTCCATGCAATGAAAGGACATAGAGATTTTAAGGCCCTAAATGGTACTACAGCCCTGCAAGCCAGTTCTAGTTTTCTTTGTTTATGTCCATTTGTTCAAATGCCTGCACTCACGATTGAAGCAATTAATTATACAAGTCCAGTAATGTCTTGTGAGCTGCTTTGGAATGATCAGAAATTAAAATATCTGTTTTCAGTTTTGTTGTTGCTGTTTTGATTTGGGCAACAAGGCTTTTGGAGAATCATTTTTGCTTCACATAGGGTTATCCACCCTTGTGACTGCTTAATGAAGTACCCAGCAATACAGCTTTACTTAGCTAAAACTGGGAATGTTGAAACAATTCATTTTACGAATTAGGCAAGGAAGTACTGATTTCAAGCTGTGAAAATAGTAATTCTTTTAAAAATAGCTTATTTTTGTGGCTATCTACCTCCTTACTGCTTTTTCTTTTCTTTCCATAGGAAAAATTAACCCAGGAGTGTGTATTCAGAGAGCAGTTTGAAGAAAACTGGTATAATACATATTCATCAAATCTATATAAACACGTGGACACTGGAAGACGATACTACGTTGCGTTAAATAAAGATGGGACTCCGAGAGAAGGGACTAGGACTAAACGGCATCAAAAATTTACACATTTTTTACCTAGACCAGTGGACCCTGAGAAAGTACCGGAACTATATAAGGATATTTTAAGCCAAAGTTGACAAAGACAATTCCTTCACTTGAGCCCTTAAAAAGTAACCACTATAAAGGTTTCATGCGGTGGGTTCTTATTGATTAGCTGTGTCATCACATCAGCTCCACTGTTGCCAAACTTTGTCGCATGCATAATGTATGATGGAGGCTTGGATGGAACATGCTGATTTTGTTCTGCACTTAAAGGTTTGTCCTCCTGGAGGAGAGCCTATGCCCACTCGCTTGATTTAGTACGAGAGGGAGCGCGAGAGAGTGAGTGCGAGAGAGAGAGAGAAAGGGAGAGGATGAATGGGAGTGAGAGCGCGAGAGAGAGGAGCCAAGGGGAGGAGGAGGAGGAAGGCCTGATGCATGCTGGGGAATAGACACGCTTTTAAATTTTTGATCAGTTGTACTTCGTCATATATCAGCATAGCTGCCATACTTTGATTCATCAGGATTTTTGGCTGGTGGCCTGCTCAAGTGTACGCTGCATTTTACAAAGGCATGGAGGGTGCAGTCTTACTTAAACAAGAGACTTTTCAGTTAATCGCTCTCTGGGTCTCACCCTACTGAGTTTAAAGCAAAGACCTCTTAGTAAAAAAAATAAAAATAAAAAGTTAAATTTATTTATAGAAATTCCAAAGGCAACATTTTATTTATT